GTATGGATATTATCCTATCACTGACAGCATTGTACTTCAGGACAGATCTTGAAACATCCTTTGTGATGATGAATGCCACGCCATTCATTTTCAAACTGTCATTACCGGCATAGTAGATCATATGGTTGTCTGATTCAGAATGGCCAAAACCAGTCCATTTCAGCTCACTAATGCTGAGGATTTCAATCTTTATGCATTCCATTTCCTTTTTGACAACTTCCAATTTTCTGTCTGGTAATGTGGTAGATAAATGTCTATACATCTGTCTAAACCCACAGCACTGTATACCACAAAGAGTCTATTTTTCTGTATGCAAATGTTTAAAAATTACCCAGGATTTGGAAGAATGCAAGATGAAACTTGTTGTTATTTGACTTTGAGTTGGACCCAACTCATAGTGACCCCTCCTTGGGTTTCCAAGGTAGTATCACTGTAGAAGTAGATTGCCCAACCTTCCTTCTGAGGAGTGGCTGGTGAGTTTGTACCACCAGCATTCTGGTTAGTGGTCAGATGCTTTAGGCACTACGCTACCAGAGCTCCCAATTGTGACAAATGAATCTAACTCTATTACAAATGAACATCATAGCATAGTGAAGAGGGTGAAGAAGAAAGGATCTAAGTAACTTTGGAACAGTGTTTTCACTGAATATTGTAAGGGCGAAAGACAAAATAATTGTGCACAAATGATGGTACTCATTTAGCTAAATTTGTTTTCCCACAGAAGTATGGGTTATCATTTCTGATACTGTATACTAGAGTTGAACAAGTAAATGTATGCAGATAATGAGAGCCAAGATTTTCACAGCTGAAGAAGTCCAAATAAGCAACAGGGAAAGTCTAAAATGAACTCTGTGACACTGGATTGCGTTTGGAGGTCTCAGTATGACCTCGTGGAGATAGATAGATGGATACAGAAATAAATATAGAGCATGTGTATACATACAGGTTAGCAGACATACATACATTTCTTTAGCTTTGTCAACCAATAGTACCTAGAAACAATGGTATTCCAGTAGCAATGAACACCCCTAGTTCCCAGTTTCGGTTTCTAAATACCATTCTCTAATAAAAGGTCTCCTGACACCTTAGAGAATTTACTGATTCCAAGGTTGGGAGAGGGAAAATACAGGCTAAGCTTGAGACATCTTGGGGTGGCTGAAAGTGTACAAATGCTTGAGGGGGTGGGGGAAAATGTGGACACATTGAAGGAATTCCCAATGGCCAAAGCTGTAACAATTTGAGCAACAAATTAAATAATTATAGTATTTGATTATAACTCAAAGAATAAAATATATACCCAGGAGTCTTTAGTTACAGAAGAATTCCAATTAATAAGTGCAGAAGTGAGGTAAATAGAAAACCACTATTAAAGCGCCACAGTAATAACTATATCGTAAGCAAGATCCGCTGATGAATGATAAAAGTAGTGGGAAAAAAGCTTCAGGAGAAAGACTATATTTACATAGTCACAAAGTCACAAATAGGAGCTCTGGTAGCATAGTGCCCAAGACATTTGATTTCTAACCAGAAGGCTGGTGGTTCCCACCCACCAGCCACTACTCCTCTGAAGGAAGAATGGGCAATCTACTTCTGTAGAGATACCGCCTTGGAAACCTAAGAAGGGGTTGCTATGAGTCGGATCTGACTTGATAGCAGTGAGTTTGTTTTTTTTTAGTTTTAAAGTTACAAATGCTGACTTTATAGAAGAAAGATCTGCCACTCACCACCTTAAACAAATGACTGAAGTTAATATCCAATGGTAAAATATATTTACATTACGTACCCCTGATTGGATGCACTGAAAAGAGTGTACCAGCTGTGTGATATCATTCCAAAACATTCATAAATTTAGTGTAGACATGAAAAAACGATCAACCTAAACTGCAAAATATCCTAAAGAATAACTGACCAATACACTTATGAAATGTCCAAGTCATAAAAGACAAGGAATGCTGAGGAACTGTTCCATCTTGGAGAGGAACAAGGAAGAGATGTAAGAACTAAATGGAGTGTGGGATCCTGGGGTAGAAAACGACAGTGCTGAAACAACTAGTAAGATTTGAATAAAGTCTGTAGTTTCTTTAATAATACCATACCGGTGTTAATTTTCTGGTTTTGATCATTGTGCCATGGTTATGTTAAATGTTAACATTAGTGGAAGCTGGGTGACAGGCATAAGGAACACTATGTACTATCTGTATAATTCTTCTATGACTCTAAAAAAATTTCAAAATAAAAACAGATGCTTAAGTGTCCAATGTTATTTTCATATAACTTGTAGTTATAAAATACATACTGAGGAAAACGTCTGTTTTTCTTTGATCATCAGAGAAACATTTTTGACGATCATGAATTTTTTGTCATTTTAAATATATTTTAGTGGCGGTTATTTTGGTTGAAGTTTTAATAAAAAGGTTGTATAATCAAAATTGACTAAGCAATGAAACCAGAAGTGGTTCAGGAAATTAAAACAGCTGCGCCTAGACAACTGTTCTTATTAAACTCTTCATGATTTCCAGCAGTGTACTGGAGCTTATTAACTTTTCTCTTTTCTTTATTGGCTGAATAAGACTATCCATTTTCTATCTCCTCCATACCAACTGTACATTACGATCTAATTTAAATTTGTCCTTTCTGAAAGAACAGGGATTTAGAAAAGGGAGCTGGTCAAGTAGGGGTTTTCTCAGTGGTGAGTAGGTTGCCCCACACTTGTGTGGTGATAGAGAAAGTAGCAGCTGTAAGGATGCCAAAGCATTTTATGACATCACCATCTTAATCCTTTGGTAGCTTTACTTGGAGTTCTGATATTAGGGATTAAACTGGGTATTTGGCAAATATAATCCAATTCTGTTCATTGAACTAACCTATAATTATTTATTTTCTGTGTGCTTACCACTATATTGACCCTGAAGAAATACAAAAATCAAAATCATGGTCAAAATCAATGAAACCCCACTTGTTTGAAAAAAAAAAAGACCAACAAAAGCATTGAAGTGGATGGAAGGAGCAGAGGCTTTAGTGTAGGATAGTCTTTGTGATTATAGTCTTGTTAACTCTTTCATTATTTACTATCTTTGTGACCTTGATTATTAAACTCTCTGAATCTGTTTCTTTATCTGTAATAAAGAATCTTAATGTCAGTCTTTTAAGATGGCTACGATCATTAATACCTGGCATGTTGAAGACATTTAATAAATGTGATTGTTGTTATCATTACTGATAGACCATTGAAAAATAAAGTAGTTTTATAAGCTAAAAGACTTTATTCATAATATTGTGGTAGGTAATTGACTCAGTCTTTTTGGTTTCTCCCTTTTTAGAGATGATGAAGAGAAAAAAAAACCTCTCTCAGAAGGTACTGATGAGAAGGCTAATGGAACACATCCAAAGACCATCACTCGTATTGGGAGTACTACCAATCCATTCTTGGACATTCCTCATGATCCAAATGCTACTGTGTATAAAAGTGGATTCTTGGCTCGGAAAATCCATGCAGATATGGATGGAAAGAAGAGTAAGGATCATCTTTTTGTCATTTTCTATTTTATTTCATCTTTAGATCCAAAATTTAAAGTTAGTGTATGTGAAGTAGAGTCAGGGATGAGGGAAAATTATATTTAGCCAAAGAAGTATTCTAAAGTTTGATTAACCATTTAACTCTAAATTATAAATCCATTATGGTACTTGATGTTTCTCAAGTAGAATTGCAAAACTTTAGAAAAGGAAGGCAGCTTACAGATTACTTAGTTCCCAGCCTTTATTATTCATTTATTTATTCAGTTCTTTCAAAAGTAATAAGAAATACCTATTATGTGCTAAGAACAAAAAACATAGATCAGTGAATAAAGTGGACAAAGTTCCTATCTCTGTGGAATTGACATTGCTGGTGGTTGATGTATAAAAGATAATAATAGTAAATACTATAGAATAATAAGTACTATTCCAGAGACATTGAGGGTGGGAGGAAATTGAGGTCCAAAGCGCATGTGAAAGGATTGGCCTTTAGTAGGAAGATGGACAGGTGAGATGTAAAAGATGGCATAATTAGTATTAGAAAAATGAAGGAATTCCATCTGATCACTTTAATTTCTCCAAAGTATGCGACATACTTATCTGTGAGAGAGATGATATTTATTAGCATTTGAAAAAAGTACAGCATGTCTAGAATGATCTTTTCAAAGGATTAAATAACAATTCCATGTAGTGGAACAGAATAAGAAAAGCTGATACATATGCCCATAATTAGCACCCACCTACAGACACACCATGGTGCGATGGACTGTACACTGTTTCTGTGGCTGGACACTTTTTTAATCCTTCTTCCTAATGTGTTAGCCTATCTATTAGATTGCAATCAAGAGAAACATTATAGTGAAGTGGTTTTGACACTTGTGACTGTGAGCATGTTTCTTAAAGTTTCCAAATTCTTTAGGAGTACCCTCACCATGTTTTTTGTGCAGTCTGTGCACTGGCTTACTAAAACATACAGTTTTCTCTAACAGAGTCGTGTCAGGCCTTATGTGATTGCAAATGATAGCAACTCAAACTAGCTTGGGATAAAGAAGCACACCTGTGGATGAGGGATTAATTACCACCAAAATACTCTCTTTGTTTTTGTTTCTGCAATATTTTGCATGTCACTTTTATCCTTTCAAGCAAAAAGCTTTTACTTGTTCATTAGCACTGTAGAACAAGTATCCAATTTTGCCACCAGAGAGGATTCTTCTTCTTCCCTGACTTCCAATTTAGTATATCCTAGTGCATAATTCTCATTTGTATGACTGAGAGATGGAATGCTGTGGTTAACAAAACTTCATTGCTAGAATAAGTTCCTCTAAAGAAGAAATAAGATACAGTTCTCAGTGTTGTTCTGGGCAGACAATAGCTATCCACTTATCTTTTTGGTCAGTGCAAACACACATACCCTTTCTGTATACATTCAGTTCAAAAAGTGCTTTTGCTGAACATAATATGGTTTCACTTCTACTACCAAAAATATGCTCATCTCTATCCAAGATCTCGTGTCTAACTGCTTCTTCCATCTCCAGATCTCTGTTGGTAGTGTCTTTTTCCCTCAGTAAGGTCAGGATGTAACTTCAATCTATAGGTTAAATTAAAAATATAAAAATAATCTAGCATACTTCATAAAAAGTACATTAGGAATAATATATGTATAATTTCAAGCATCAGTTTAAAAAAAGAAAAAAGACAGGAAATCAGCAGTCATTGATTCAGAATATGTGCTACATCCTAATGTACAAGGATAGAAAAGTTAACTCATGTGAGTGAGCACCTGTTAATTGATTAACTCCTGGAGCATTGAAAATTGACTTGCTTCTTTAACTTATTTGAGGTCCCCAATTCTGCCTGCTGATGGTTTATCCTTTGTTTTCCTGGGTCAGCTCTCAGGGCTATTGGAGAGGAGTCCCCTGCTAAAAGCTCTGCTTCTTTTGCAGCCCACTAAGTATAGTTATCAAACCTGAGGATTCCTTAGTAGTTGAGACAGTACAACCCTTTGACCTGCCTGGGTGTTTTCCTGCCAATATGACTCCTTTAAAATTAACGTCTTCAAGAACTTCTCTTTGGCTAGGATTATTTTAAAATTTATGAGTCTTGGTTTTTTAATAACTTAATAAGTTCTGCTATTTTTCCAAAGGAACTTGCCTCTTTCTCTGCTACTGCCTCAAGATAAACTCCAAAACCCAAACTCACTGTTGTCAAGTTGTATCTGACTCATAGCGACCTCTCCTTGGGTTTCTGAGGTGGTATTTCTACGGAAGTAGATTGCCCCATCTTCCTTCCCAGGAGTGACTGCCTCAAGACAGTAAGGGAAAATAGTTGGATGGGATAAGACAGGATCAAGTTCATTCCTGTCAATTGCTTTATCATTAGCACATTTTTACCTTTCTTTCTTGAGGTGACTTCTTGGGCAGTGTTGTTGTTGTTGTTGTTGTTGTTGTTGTTGTTGTTGTTATTGTTATGTGCCGTTGAGTTGGACCCGACTCATAGTGACCCCTCCTTGGGTTTCCGAGGCAGTATCACTACGGGAGTAGATTGCCCATCTTCCATTTTCCTTCCTAGGAGTGCCTGGTGGGTTTGAACCACCAGCCTTCTGGTAAGCAGTCAAGTGCCTTAGGCACTAAGCTACCAGAGCCTTCTTGAATTCCTCAGGTTCTTCGTGAATCTTCCCAATTTTCTGTGCATTCCAAATTATAAGATTTCTCATAGATTTCATGGTTTCCAAATCCCTTTAATGTACATAGATAATTCAACTTTTCTGATAAAGGAAAAGTAGATGATTTTCTATTAATATTTACACATACTACAATTCACCAATTTTAAATGTACAGTTTGGGTTTTGAGAAATTTAGTTGTGTAACTACCATTTCAGTCAAGATACATGACTTTTCCATTACTTGAAACTTTTAGTAATAACTTTTGCAAGAAATCCCTTTCCTTTATCCTTAGTGCATGGCAACCACTGATCCATTTTCTGGTGGTGTGCTTTTGCCTTTCCTAGAATTTCAGTAAGTGGAATCGTATGAACTGTTTTGTGCCTGGCTTCTTCCACTTAGTGTTTTCCTTTGTAGATTTATCAATGTTGTGTGGTTAACAATCTGAGTGTTTGTGTTAGAGAGTATTAGTCCACTGTTTGGATGTTACCATAGTTGATCTTTTCAGCAAGTGGACATTCGAGTTGTTTCCAGTTTTTGGCTATTATAAATAAACCTGCTCTGGACAAGGACACATGTTTGGTCTAGGCATATGTTTTTATTTCCCTTTGGAAGTCACCCTAGGAGTGAGAATGCTGGGCTATATGCTTGTCTTATAGTTAACTTTATGAGAAAGTACTTCTAAGTTGTTTTCTGAAATGTCTGTACCATTTGCATCCTTGTCAGCAGTGTATGAGAATTGCAATTGCTCCACATCCTTGCTTTCTTTCAGTATGTATTATCAGTCTTTTTAATACTAGCTGTACTACTGGGGATAGGTGGTATCTCATTGTGGTTTTTATTTTCATTTCCCCAGTGCTAATGATGTACAGCTTTTCACATGCTTAACAGATATTTCATCTCTGGTGAAATGTGTGTTCAAAGTTTTGCTCGTTAAAAAAAAAAAAAAAAGGCTTCTCTTTTTATGATTGAGTTAGAATTTGTTATACATTTCCTATATATGTCTCTTATATCAGATATATATTTACAAATATTTCTTCTAATATGTAACTTGCCTTTCCTTTTTCTTAGCAGTGTATGTCAAAGAAAACGATTTTTAATTTTGATATAGGCCAATGTATCAGTAATTTTCTTTATGATTATTGCTCTTTCCCCCCTGCCCCACCATGTAGGAAAGTTTTGCCTAACCTAAGGTCAAAAATATTTTCTCCTTTGTTTTCTTTAAGAAGTTTTATAGTTTCAGCTCTCACCTTTCAGTCTATGATCTATTTCAAGTTAAGTTTTATATACGACATAAGGGAAGGGTTGAGGACAAGGGTTGTTTCCAAGTATGTATTTAGTTGTCTCTATACCATGTGTTGTAAGCACTATGCTTTGCTCATTGAATTACCCTGTCATTTTTGTTGAAAATTACTTGAACATATATTTTCTTTATTTATTCTTAAATCTGTTTTGTTCATGTATATTCCTTGATTACTAAAGCTTTTCTATAAGTTTTAAAATCAAGTAGTATAATTTGGTGAAGGTGTGGGGTTTTTTTTTTGTTTTGTTGTTTTTAAATTGTAGAGTTGTCCTGAGTTGGAATCAACTCGGCAGAAGTGGGTTTGGTTTGGTTTTTATTCTAGGTCCTTTGTATTTTTGTATAAATTTTAGAACTGACATAAATTTCTACAGCAAAGCCTGGTGGGTTTGGGATTGGGTTTATATTTAATGTATAGTTAATTTGTGGACAATTCACATCTTAATAATATTCAATCTGATCTATGAGCATGGTATGTCATTGCCATTTGTTTGTTGTTGTTGTTGTTATGTGCCGTCAAGTCAAACCTGACTCATAGCAACAGCTCCTTGGGTTTCTGAGGCAATATCACTACAGAAGTAGATTGTCCCATCTTTCTTCCGAGGAGTGGCTGGTGGGTTTGAACCGCCAGCCTTCTGGTTAACAGTCAAGTGCCTTAGGCACTACACTACTAGTGCATTTGTTTAGATTTTTAATTTCTCTCAGCAAAGTTTTGTAGATTTGAGTGTACAAATCCTGCACATATTTTTTTAAACTTATTCCTAATATTTCATATATTCTGATACTATATTGTTTAAATTTTATTTGCGGTTTTTAGTATTTTATGCAGAAGTACAGTTGAATTTTGTATACTAACCTTCAATCCTGTGATGTTGCTAAACTCAATTATTATTTTGATAACTTTTTTTGTAGACTTTTTTTAGGATTTACTAAGGAGTTCTGGTAGCACAGAGGTTAAAGCATTCACTACTAACCATGAAGTTGACAGTTCGAACCTACCAGCCTCTCTGCAGGAGAAAGATGAGTCAGTAGCTTCCATAA